TTACACAAAAATATCTAAAATACTAAATAGTAAATTTATTCAATGAAATCACCATTGTATTCAACCAAGGCCTTCAGATGACTACAGAATCTCCTGAAAAATCTATCAATTGGTTGATTTTTTTAAGTTGGTGAATGTTAAATAAAAAAGACCTTCACTTCATCTTTTTATTATAAACCCTTTTGTTGGTCTTTAGCTCAACTGCAAATTATATATAATAATAATCAAGGCAGTCTGGGAAATTAGTATTGATGATTCTGTAAGAAATTGTCTGACAGCCATGACTGGCACAGTCCTGTTGCTAGACATACAATCTTCCAGCAGCCACCCTCTTGACCCAGGGCAGCACTACCTCTTTAAGGCTCTTGATGTATGCTAATCCATGTTGATTCAAATGAGTCCCTCACCAACAAATTCAGGAGTTCTTATCAGAATGGCAATTTAGATAAATTTAAATTTTTCCAGCTTTGTACATTTGTAATCACCATTAGACTCGTCCATCTCTTTCCTAAAAAATGAAAAAATTGAGACCCAAATTTTTCTATGAAATGTTTATATTTGGATTTCTTGGCATGAATATACCAAAAAATACCTACAGCATGAAATTTCAAATTTCTGGCAGAATGAATTCAGTTAAATTTGTAAACTAGGGAAGGTTATTGAATAGAATAATCACAAAAGTTGTTGGTAATGAATGATATAATACTTAGGACAAGAACAACACATATAAGATTAGCCAGCGGTGCATAGAAGAAGTAGTCAACTGCAAAAGTGAGTCAAGTGAATTCCACAATGAAGAAATCTCCAACCAAAGACCAACATTTACAGTATTTACTATTGATGTGGGGACATACCCATTATTTTTTTAGGTATGCTGGAAACATAAATCAGAAGTGCTCTTTTCTTACATATGGTGCCCAACTTGCCCTTCTATACTGTGCAGTTAACAAAAGCAAACAACATGTATGCATAAAATTAAAAATGTAAAATGACGACAATTTACCCATCGCACCCTGTACGTATGTAAGTATGTTAGGGGGGGGGGAGATATAAAAACATAAGCATTGGTTATAATTATGAATTGTTAGGAAATGTTGAATTTTAAATTTCTTTTTTTCTAGATGCATGCATTCTAACCAATTTCCTTCAGTTTTCTTATGCTTTTGTTTTTATATTTATTTGTTCAATGAAGTCCTTCAAGAGGACAAAACATGTGACACAAAATTTTTTCCATGATGTCATTCGTTTGTCTGACATTGCTCCGATATATAGAAATGTATATATCATATTCTCCCAACTGCGGCAATAAAGATGAGGACATTAGTCCGAATGTAAATAATTATGTGATAATATTTTTAGTGATAGTCTATGCATTGATTTCAGCTCCTCCATAAAACAAGTGAATTTATGTTTAACTTTATAAATAGATGAGAAATATCTATTTTGCATAAAAAAAATTCTGTGATCTAATGTCATTGTGTCTGTTACAGTCAGTGTTTTGGCTGTTGTCACTTTTGACCTTCAGATGTCTGTCATATTCAGTAATCTTTTCAGAATTTTGAGATAACATTTGGGTAAATTATTCGCATTCATTGCAGACATAAAAAAACTATGGCATCTCCAATTCCAGCTTTAAAATATAACTTATAATATTATAAAAATAAAACAATATTTTTGGCAAAGTTTAACATATAATCAGGCAAAAAAATTTGTGTGTCAAAATGGATGTTTCTTTGTTTTTCTTGATACCATTGTATACACTCTTGATAACTTATATTGTTTTCATAAAGTATTTTTAGAATTTGAATAAAACCATAAAATACAAAACTGAATTTAAACATTTTTTCTTCAAAATTGACAAGTAAAATGAACTATTCAATGTTTTATTTCCAAATTAATAAAAAATAAAATACAAAAATGATATTTTACAAGATTATCCTATTATAATTGTGCTTGTTCTTCCCATCGTTAGTTAGCACAACCATTACGCCCTGCCAATACCTCATAAATAATGGAATATTCCATGTTTTGATTGTGAAAAAAGAGGGGAAAAAGATACTACTTGGTTTCACTGAGAAAATGAATCTTTTAAAGAAAGAAAGAAAAATAGAAGTTTGGTTTGTTTTACTGCATATCAACTTCAATGGGTCATTTAATGCTGACAAAATTTTCATTGTTGGTAATATATTTTCCAAAAATCTATTTCTGGCAATAATTTTCCTTCACTGGTAATATTTTTTTTTCAAAAAAGATATAGCTGGAAATTTTTTTTTTTTACAGAAATTCACTAAAATAGGTTGAGAGCATTTCTTCTTTAGAACCAAACATGGTTTTAATTTTACATTTTAGACATGACTACAAACACTCAATATTTTAAGTGGGTAACTCCCTATTCATTGAGTAAACAAAGATTTCCTTACGTATAATTACCAAAGATCTGTAATTGTTAGTGGGTATTTGGGAGATAGCACTGATGGATTGCCATCTGAAATTTATGAGTTTCTGGTAAAATAGATAGATTTTTTAGTATGAATTATTACATTAATAATAACAATAATTATTTTACACAACAATATATATTCAAATATAATCTTCTCCTTTGTCAATGCATTTGACCCAGTAAGTATTAGCCATTTCCCTATAAAGAAACATTTAGCATTCATTAACTAAGCAGCTTATACTACTTTTGGTTGAAATGTATAAAATCTTTCTCTTAAAACAATTAAAAAAAAAATACTCAATTCCAGTATTAATGGGGATTTTTTTTCTTTTTTAAATGATTTCACCCCATGCAATGCTTTAAAGCCACTAAGAAGCATATGGTTACTGGGAGTGTAATAATCAGGAGGACAGTAGATAACAATTGACATTGCATTTAAATTTTTGAAGATTAAAGTTGGCTGGAAAGCTTGGAGCTGAAAGGGAGTTCCACAAGCAAGGAGTGTGAGAAAAGAAACTGTTAGCTTAGAACTTAGTTACATCTCGTCACCTGTAAATTGATGAGATCTCAATGCCAGTCTAGTACTGCACTTAAATTCAAAAAGTCTAGGTCCTATAGCAAAGTGTTCATCCAAATAATTACCACAAAAGTATTTATAGAAAAGATACAGGGAGGCCACCTTAAGTGACTGAAGCTGAGCTGCCAGATCAAGACCAATAATATTGCTGATTCTTCTTTGGATTTTATCAAGGAGCTTAAGGTAAATAACAGGGGAACCAGACTATATGTGGCAGCAATATTCTAAGCATAGATGAATATATCATACTTATCTATAAGTATGATATATTCAGATAGAGGAGGCACAATGGAGTAATGGATAGCATCTCAGATTGTGGAATCAGAGAGCCAAGTTTGAATTCCAGTCAAATCCATTACATTCACTTACGTGCTAATACCCTTGGGAAAGGTAGGAATCCTCTTCTTCTCTCCCCCAGCTATGGGTAAATAGCAGGACAGACCAGGTTCTATAGCCTTGGATGGCAACTGGTCTACTGCAGAAAGAAATGGCAACCTACAACGGGAAATAAATCTGCCTCGTCAGTCATGTATTGAAAGATACTTGATTGCCTAAGCATATATTATGCATGACACATAACCGGCTGACTGATGATAGATTCTGGAGATAAAAATTGTTTCACACAGCATATTGAATCCAACTTTTTTTTAGCAGCTGACCTAGCAATGAATTCAATACAGTCTTTACACTTCTGTCCCAAGAAGGTGTTCTCCTTCCTAACCTTTTATTCAAAATAGTGTGGAATATCAGCATCTTTATTTTCTCTTTGAGTTACATATGCCATCCACAGTTGTTGATGCTGTTGAAAGTCTTCAAGTACTGTGGTTTCTATTATTTGGTACAGTTCTTTGTTTCTGATTCTATAGCACCAGTCCGAAATGTTCAAAGAAGGAAAGTCTTTGCCAATTCTCTCAGAATTCATTTGATCAAAGCCATTTTAATCATTGATCTTAGAAATTAGATTAAACAGTATACAGTAGAAATTTCCAATCAAAATTCAGATGATAATTGAGTGTCAAGCTACAAACTATTGATTCTTTCCCATACAACTAATCCTGACTAAATCGATTATGAAGACAATGGTTTTTGTTGTTCATTTTAACAAAAAAAATACTCCCCAGAGTCAAGCCAATATTATTTTTTACATTTTTAGAAAAAAGCTCAAAAAAAATGAAATAGATAATTAATTAAATATGTTGACGATCCCAAGAAATTTGGCTTTGGCTCATGGGAAAGTTCTGACAAATTGAAAAAGAAAATTTCACAGCAAGCAATGTTCAAAAGCATATTATCTCTTAGGAATGCAGTTATATGAATTCGATTTATAAATTTATATCTTGATAATAATACAGATTGTTAATGTCTAACAAAACATGTGCTTCAATAATTTATTGCAGTTTAAAGACAAGCAGACTTTTGAAACAAAATGCTAGTTTAAAAAAAAAGAAAAAAAAAGGAGCATAACAGTGAATAGATAACAAAAACTTTAAAAGACTTTGTGACCAAAATTTCATGTCTGCAAAACTTGAAGTTAGAAAGACAAATCTTTTTGAATGTTTTCTTATCTGTCAACTATGAATTTCTGTCTAAAAAATGCCATGTTTCAAAATGGAGACCAATGAATATTTGTTGGATTTTTTTTCATTAGTTATTTCTATTTCCCAAATAAAGGTAAAAATAATTTTTTTCATTAGTTAAGTTTATTTCCCAAATAAAGGTAAAAATATTTTTTTTTTTTTTTTTTTTCCACAAATATAATTCAAAATAATTTTTTATTTGGTTTTTGCTAAATGTAAGTTAAAATGATTTTGTACAGTAAAATATTTTAACTTTTTCAGTAATGGAGAAATAATGACAGTTTTTCATGGTTTAATCCAATTAAGATTATAAAATGTATTACAAACCAATGAATCACTGAATTTATTTGTTATTTCTATCAAACAGCTTCCTGTATGTTAAATGTTTTCCATAACTCTTGGGACTTACAGTCATATCATGTTGAAACATTGGTTCCTGTACGATCACCAAAGTTAAGCAATGTCAAACCTGTTCAGTACTGAGATGGGTGACCACTTGAGAATACCACGTGCTGTAAGCTTTGATGTGCAGTGATGTAATGGATAACGGCTCAGAATCACATATCAGAGTTCCAATATAAAAAAGAAGGTTCATTATATCCACTTACACAAAAAAAAATCCTTGGGAAAGCTATGAATCCACCACTTCTCCTCCAGCTGTATGTTAATTAGTAGGACTTTTATCAATAAATCATTATTATCTTGCCAAAATTTAAATTTACAAATTCCAGTCAGGTTCATTACATTCATTCATGAGCAAATACCCTTGGAAAAGGTATGAATCCATCTCTGTCGTATAGGTTTTGAGGAAACATTTAGTATTCATTGACCAAGGAGCAAGTACTGATTTTGGTTGAAATTCATAAAATATGTCTCTTTCCAGTATTGATGGAGGTTTCCTTCCTAACCTTTGATTTGAAGTTGTGGAACATCAATTTTTTATAATAAATATCCTTTCAGGACATAGGTGATCATTTTTTCTCCACCTCTTCCTCTAAAATTTTTAAGCTCTCAAATAAGTACTTTTATCTGCTTTTCACCCCCAGACCACATTCTGTCATCCATTTGCTTAAGTCCACCAGATATGTCACGCATTGTGAGTGTTTTCTCTCTTTCCCTCTATTCAACCTTAAAGTATCAGATTCTCCAGGCCCTCCTTCCTTATTATGTGTCCCAGAAACTTCAGCTGCCTCTTTCTGATATTAAGTATAAGCCTCCTCCTTGTTTGCAACCTTTCTAAGATCTCATCATTGCTCACATGCTCAGTCCATGATATCCTTAGCATCCTTCTGTAAAACCACATCTCTGTTGCCTCAAGTCTCTTCATCTTTGTGGAAATTGTCGAACATTTGTTGCTGTAAAGGACAGATGTCACATAATGGATCAATATTTTTTTTTTATTTTTATTTCAAAGAAAATCCTCCTGTCTAGAAATACTCAAATTTTTAAATTTTTGAATCGTCCCCATTACAAAAGTAATTTAAAAAATGCCAACATCTTGATTATATCATATTTTTTTTCTTTTTTTTTGTGCCATCCATTTTAGTTGTTGATGTTGGTGGTCCTCAAGTGATGTGGTTTCTATTATCTGGTACAGTTCTTAGTGATTCTGTAGTGCCAGTCCACAATATTCAAAGTAGGATGGTCTTCACGAAGAAAACTGAATCAGATAACAAAAACCACATCACTTGAGGACTTTCAACAGCAGCAGCAACTAAAATGGATAGCTCATGTAACTTGAGAAAATAATAATCAAGATGTTGGTGTTCTACACTCTTTCAAACAAAAGATTAGGAAGGAGCCCCTCCCCCTATCAATACTGGGAAGAGTGATAACAGATACTAGATGGGAGGAATCTAGTTTCCTAAGAAATTCTTTTAAGAGAAAGATTTTACAAATTTCCACCAAAAGAAATACAAGCTGTTCAGTCAATGAATGATGAATGTTTCCTTATAAGGTGCTATATAGGAATAAAATGTCACTGCTGACACTTAAGTTTGAACATAGATCACCAGTGAGCAAACACAGGCGATCCCATTATTGAATTAAGTAGAGCATGTGACCATAGATGAAACACATAAGTAGGAATTAACTTGGTGTCTAATGGATCGCTATTTCTACTCTATCCTCTATTACTATTTGGATCACTATTCTCTATATTATTCACTATATGTTATGATGTTGATTTGGGGTTAGTAGAGACAAACGCCAAATAACACGTAACAATAAAAAGGGTTTTAATAGGTTGGCAAAAAGGTACAGAAATCGCCTGAGTAGTCAATAACTAGCTCAGCTAAGAACTTCTCTGTCTATCTGTCTCTCCCCATGTCAACTGACATGCCACTATTTAAAGTCTTTGTTCGCAGACAAGTTCATCTTCAAGAGGGGTGGTAGGTTTCCGACACAACACTATACTATCTTTCTATTCGGATCACTATACAGATTACTATTCGATCGAGTATTATCATAAAAAAGTATTATTAATAATGAGTGTCATTGAAGGTGTCTGACACCAGCATTGTTCAACGGTGTTTTATAGTTGTATTTTCAATTACAAAGTCTCTACTACAATGAGCATTATATATGATTTTCAAAAGTATTATTGGCATCACAAAAGTGGCAACAAGTGTATGTTGACATCACAAAATAAGGAAATACCTAATATTAACAATGCCAGACTTCTTGAGAGGGATGCAAGAGTAATCTCATTTTAGGGGTTACGTTTTCAAGAGTTCTAAAAAAATTGTAAGTAATATTCATAAAAATGACAATGTATAAACATCTTATCAAAACTGATTGTGAGGTATGTGATGCTATGCTGGGCTGGTGCCAAAAAAGTGGGGTTTCATTTTCCTTTTGATGTTGGAAGCTTGACAAATAGGTAATTTTATGCCCTCTTGAACTTAAACTTGGGCCACTTTTTTTAGTGTTAATATGCCAATTGCTGAACCACCAAAGATCATCTTTTAAGCATCATGTCGCTTCAGGACGTGGGTGATCATGGCTCTCCACAACTTCTTTTCTTTTGTAGCTCTAAGCGATATTTGTCCCTTTACTATCCTTTCCACTCCTTCATTTACACAAGTTTGGGAGGTAGGTTATACAAAGTATCTGTCTGTCTCTCTTGTCTTCATTATGTCCTGTGAGTATCAAATTCTTCAAACCATCTTTCCTCATTAGATGTCCTAAATATTTTAACTCTCTTCAAAAAAGTTCATAATTCTCCAGTATTCGCTGTCATTTTAGGATTTTTTTTTTCTTCAAAACAGCTCAAGAAATCAGCACAGATATCTGGTCAAAAGAAAGAGAAAAAAAGCTTCAATTATCTAAACCACATGCCAATCAGTTGTAGTCTCTGTTGAACAACAATAGTGATGTCCAAACACAAAGTAAATCATCATGGAAGAATTTAGAACCTTAAAATGACTTCATTTTTCTGTCAATTTAAGACTTTAGTAAAATTTTCTACCCATTAAAAAAAGAAGTGTCAACAATGATTGATTGTTTTTTTTACCAAGCAGATTTATTTAAGACTAGTAGTAGAGCCTGGCATTGCCCAGGGATGTAACAGTAAGAGATAGATCAGGTATCGACCATCATAAAGACTGAAAAATAAAATTGAAAAAGATTATTGTTTAAGGTTGACGGACACGCATGTCTTAATTAGTTTTTTTTTTTTTTTTTCTCAAACCAAAACATTGTTTTCAATCGTTATGAGTCTACTGATTGAATAGAATTTTATTATAAACAATTGTCTTGTAAATGGAATTTTTAAAGCATTCTGAATGTAAAAAAAAAAAAAAAAAGTGTGCAAGACAATAAGAAACACTACCTGCCAAAAAAAAAAAAGTGAAGTTTTGTTGAAATTGGTTGAAAAATGTAGGAAATCCGATCCCATATATAAATGAACACACACACACACACACACACACACACACAAACAACCTGGGTTTTTATAAGTATAACTCGATATGAGTTGTCCCCCTTTCATTCTCGCGATGCCTCTTAATCATGTTTCCAAATTGATTTCATGCAAAAACAATTGTGTTTTTCCAATTTTTGGTGCTGTCAGAACCACCACAAGGTAATTTTATGTAGTCCTGTGAAGTTTTGTTGAAATTGGTTGAAAAATGTAGGAAATCCGATCCAATATATAAACGTACACACACACACACACACACACACACACACACACACACACACACATCTGCGTTTTATAATAAGTAAGATTCATTGTTGACTTTTGTATCATTGAGAGAATCTTGCTCCTTTCATTTCAGCCTTTGCTTTCACTTTAACGCCAAGATTTCGCAATGTTTATTAATGAGAAAATCAAAAATGATGCCCTGGGCTTGAAAATAATGTCAAATTAAGACTACTAATAATAAAATCAATGGTAATTGGAAAAGCCAGCCTACAACTTTAAAAATTTAATTAGAAAATATAAATTTGTATGTCATCTTACATTAAATTTTTTAGCATAAAAACCTGCCCAAACCCAACCTGTATTTATCAGCTCTCAATATTCAACCCCGCATAACACGACCTATGTATTCTCTGCGATGATATATGACAATATCATATTTAATACTGTAAATACCAAATCTTGAAGTCTTCTCAAATGAATGGCTTTTAACTTTGGGTCAGTTTAGGAGAATAAAATTGTCTTATGTCTGATACAAATGTTTCTCAAAGGCTATAAATACTTATCCTCTCATCAATGAGATGTGATATTATGTTATGTGACTTTAATGTTCAAAACCAGTTGTACAAACCAGGCAAATGTCATAATTGGTCAATTTGTGGACAATTCATTGTCTTGTTGTAAAAAAAAAGCTGGCTTAAAAAAAAAAAAAAAGAAACACTACCAAAATAATGTTCACAAAATGTTTATTCATTTTGAATGTAAAAACAAATATTCTGTACAAATTCTGGTGACACAGAATTTTCAGCACAGAAAATTTTTTTGCCAAGAACACAGCAAAGCAAAGTCTACAACAACCAACTGCAACAAATTACTCATTAAATATGGCCTCACATGACTACAATTTCGTCCTGAAGAACACGACAAAGTTAGCTGATCAATCGGAACATAAAAATGCTAGTGTTAATCCTGAAAACCCCAAATCTTGAAGTCTTCTCAAATGAAAGATTTAACTTTGGGCCAGTTTAGGACAATAAAATTCTTCCATCTCTGATACAAATATTTCTCAAAGGCCATAAATACTTATCTGCTCATCAATGAGCTGTGATATTGTTATATGACTTTCATATTCATGAAACTTAATTTGAACCAAATTATTTAAACATTTGAAAAAGAATATTTTATTTGCTCAATTTTTATTATTATTAATGCAAACATTAGAAAATTATTAAAATATTTCTCTTGCAATTATCTCTACATAGTGATATTCAGAGTAGGAAATTCATGTGAACTTAGTGCAATAACAAAAAGAACTCTAGAAAATAGATGTCTTACTGAAAATGTTGTTTATACAGAAATTTTATAGAAGTAAAAA